GCACCAGACGAATACGTTGGCGTACTACGAGGCAAAGGTTGCTGAGAACCAGGCTGCGGTGGAGAGAATGAACAAGGATCATTGGATGAGTGAGGGAGATGACGAGCAATTTGATGACGACGAGGACGAAGAGGAAGAAGCGGGCGAGGATGTCATGACGGAAGAGGACCTACGGGCCGAGGAGGAGTTTGTGAGGGAGCTTGATAAGAAGAAGCGGGAGCTGCAGCAGCGGTTGCGGGCGATGGAAAAGGATTTGGGAGCATTGCTGAACATGTGATGTTGGTTGGAAAAAAAGGAAAGAAGATAGTAAACGAGGGCGCTTCTACTACCATGGTTGTTTTGCGACATGATACCCCAGAAATTCAAACAAAACTCCATCATGACCCAAAATTACCCTACACTCCGATTACGTTCTCCATGTGAGCGTGTGTGCCACGACAACCTCAACACGAAAGCCCGTCCCGTGCCCCCGCTGCCCTCCCACCCCTCTCCCTCGCCGCAACAATCTGTCCCAAAAACTCACCCACCTCCTGCGCGCCCCCAACCTCATACTTGTCCTCAATCACAAAATGCGGCACCCCCCTCACCCCCATCCGATACGCCTCCTCCACCTGCCGATCAACCTCCTCCCCTCCCTTACCCTCCTCCAGCCACCGCCTCACCTCCCCCCTCTCAAGCCCACCCCGCACCGCCGCGTCCACAATCATATCCCAGCTCGTCACGTCCCCGTCCTCCTCAAAGTAGCTCTTCATAATCGAGTCCACCACCGCGTTCTCCACCTCGGGACCCTTGGTCTTCGCCAGCTGGATCGTCCGGTGCGCGTCCCGCGTGTGCCCGATCTTGCCCCCGAACGTGAAATTGAAGCCTTCGGCCGCGCCCAGCTTCTTCATGCGCGCGTGCATCATCTCCAGCCTGTCGGCGCCGAAGCGCGCCGCCATGCGCTCGTTGACGGGGACGCCCTTGCGGGGCGCCGTCGGGTCGAGGTAGTAGGCTTGCCAGGTTACGTTGAAGGTGTCGTCCTTGCCGCCGGTGTACGTCTTTTTGTAGAGGTCTATCGCCCTGTTCAGACGGGCTTTGCCGAGATAGCACTGCCAGTGATGTTAGTGACCTCGTTTCTCTCTCTCTCTCTCTCTCTCCGATGAGTTCCAAGGGCGTCTTACAAAGGGGCAGACGGGGTCTGATATGACTTTGATGTTAATGGTGGACATCTTGCTTGCTTGGCGTGCGGCGTTCATTCACTTTCAAATTTTCTTACTCGACGATGAGGAGAATATGAACAGGTACACAGATATTGGTTGAACAGGGTCTATCTTCGAAATCTACGATATGGGAATCAAAGACGTCAAATATGTCGTAAAACTCGGCCTCGGCCTCGCTCGAATACGGCGGGACTCCGCCGTAACTGGGCGCCGACTTTTAGTTGATTACCAATCAGACCCGGAGCCCGATCCGACCGGAATCATTTAGCTACAGGCCGGCGGGATTCCTCCATATCGAGACGAGCTTACCCCGTCTCGTCTCTTCACATCAGCACCAACGAGCCCACAATCCGCCATTATTCAGCCGAAGCAAAATCGGCGAAGGCGGGTCTGGGAAGGTTCCGATGGTCGTTCGGCACTCTGCATTTCGGCACTTGGTTTGTTACGTTGCATTCATGATTCGTGGAGTCTATGTGCGCCCCTTGTTCATTACCACCGCCAAGGGCCCTGCCGCCCTGCCGCCCTTGCAAAGTTGCAAGCTAATAAAGCACAGGCCAGTCTAAAGCTTGTATCCTCTGTCATCCACTGCGCAAAATAGTTCCGCAAAAGGATCCGCCGTAAATAGGTGTGAAGCCACAGCTATGGGTATTATCATGTCCGAGTCGTGCTATCAGTGCTCAATCAACAGAGTATCGTTCTGTCGCCTCTCGTAATCTCTGGTCATTTCGTGACCGACGCGATTCGTAAGGCTGCCTGCGATGCCTCTGTCTCTCATCTCTCCTCCAGGTTGAAGGGTATATACTATTGGTCGTGGACGATTCTCCACGATTAGCTGCGTTGCGACTCAGTGACCGTCGCCGCTTGAGTGTAACATCTGGATACTGCACAGCGCGGTCCCAGCTTTCGAGCGACATGTAGGGGCTTCTCAGCCACGCCCGAAGCTCATGAAGCAGCAATCGCGTATTCTCTCTGCCCAGAAACTCTTGTATGAGCTCCTCAGCTTGGCCCATGCTGCCTTGCATATCCACAGTCTTCAAGATAGCGATGATGTACTCGAGCAAGAACTCGGCATTGTTGGCTCTGCGACGTCGGACTGGGTCGGTATCCAGCGGCCTTGCATCATGATCGGGCGAGAGGAACTCAAAGACCTGTAGTTCGCGCCGAAGAAATGTACCCGCGCGCGAGACAAGCTCTGTATCGGAGGCAAATATTTGCGGAGTCAAGTCTCGGTATCTTGATATCCTGTTTGAGCCCACGTGCAGCGAGTACAATTGATGTCGATAGACATGTCTTCGGCGGGTGATTGCCTCATCTTGAGACAGATTGGGTCGGGTCGTCGAAGGCGCATAGGGCCGTGGTCGCCGTGGGCGGGCTTGAGAGTAATATCGTCTCGTTTGCTGACCAGAAGGGGCATTCGTTGTGTCTCCAGCCTTATCCGAGGGTCTCTCTGGGGCCTTGAAGGTCTTCCATTGCCTTCGGTCGTCGCTAAACTCGTAACGGACCTCCTTGATCTCGGTCTTGCATAGCGGGCATGCTATTTGTCGTTCCAGCCATGTCGCGAGGCAGAGGAAATCGAAGTTGTGGTGGTGGCAGGGTTGCGCCTCGCAGCCTTCGGTGATCTCTTCGAGGCAAATGACGCAACAGTCTTGAAGATCCGTCGATCGCGTGGTGATCTCCTGCAGCGTTGTCTGCAGGACGACGGAATGAAGATCTCGTGAACTCGAGTTGTCGCTGGATATCGCTTCGGCGGACATGCCACAGGTGTAGAGCGTGCTCAAGAGAAAGGAAGTGGTGTTTGACGGAGGAGAACGACGATGTCACTATGTCAGTCCAGTGTGACGGCTGTGTTAATCAGCGTGACATCCGTGGAAGCAGCTTAAACTCTGATAAGATAAGGAATTCCATGGTGGGGCAATCCCTTCGGCCGGTTAAATACGTACCCAAAGTGCTGCTGGGCGACCGTGCATCTTTCGTGTTTAGTGCTTTTTCCTTGTCGCGTCAACCGCGTTCCCTTTCCCTCCACCTTGAAATCCACCCTGGACGTCTTCAACTACGTACCTCAATCCAAACCACTTACTCAACCTTAATTCTGCGCCTTCACAATCTTCAATGACGTAGATGCATCTTGACCAGCGACTGCCCCATAATGGACGAACCGACAAAGGCAGAGTATGAGCTCCAGTCACAGAAACTACGTGTCGAACTCAAGACGTGGGAGACCTCCTGGGCAAAGTCTCACGATGGGAAGAAGCCGGGCAGAGGTGATATCAAAAGCAACGCCGACATAGGTGAGTATCTTACGTCTGAAAGCACAAAAGCAATCGAAGATTAACACGAGTGACCAGCGCAAAAATACAAGCAATACAACAAAGTCCGCGACATCCTTTCAGGAAAGATTCCTCCACCTTCAAAAGAAGCTCCGAAACCAAAGAAGCGGGACGATATCCCCCCCCTCGCGAGGACGCCTTCGAAGAAAACCAGGCACACCGAAACGCCCTCGAAAAGAAGGACGAACCCCGAAGATGCCGCCCTCACTAGCACCCCCTCGATCTCCAGAACCCTCTTCAGCCCCGTGGCTCCAAGATCGATTGGACCTACTCCACAGCGCGATGGTCGTGTACTGGGATTGTTTGACCTAATGGTGGAGCGTGAGCTCGGAACACCGTCAAGAAAGAACATCAACACCTCTGCCGACGCCAGAGTAATGACGACACCAAGGAAACGTGCGACACCCATGGACGAGGAGGATGATGCGAAATTTGGGCGGACGCCAATGTCCACGAGCAAACGGCAAATGCTAGACAGCTTCATGACACCTCTGAAGAACAAAGATGTCCCCGCAGCAGACGCCAAAACACCAACAACTGTTTCGAAGCTTCAGTTCAGCACCCCGTCCTTCCTCAAAAGACACACCCAGCCACCACCCAGCAAGAGCGATGACTTTACAGCGCCGCCCCTGCGATTACCTCGGAAACCACTGGTTCGTGGCCTCAGTGCTATTGTAGCAAGTCTCAGAAAGGTGGAAGAAGATAACTTGGACAACGAAGACGAGCTCGAGGCTCTACGGGAGGCGGAAGGCGAAGTTATGGAGCCTAAAGTGCCTCCGAAGCCGAAAGCGGATATTCTCGCTGCAGACAGTCAGGTCAATCTTCCTCTTGGAGGGTTTGATGACGAGGCTCTTTACGACAGTCCCGATGAAGAGCAGGTGGGACGTGATGGAATGCCGCTAAGGGTATACAAGAAGAAGGGGCAGAAACGAACGACGAGGAGATCCAACATGAAGCCTGTCCACGTTAAACGGCCATCGGCTCCCGCCGAGGAAGAGGCACAAGAAGGAGACGAAGAAGGAGGCGTGCCAAAAACACAAAACAGTGGTGATCCAGAGGACGACTATGATGAGCTCGCGGGCTCGGGTTCGGACACAGAGTTTGACGAGTCGGCACCAAAAACCAAGTCCAAGAAGAAGGAAGAGAAGAAGACGGAGAAGGTCGGGGCGGTCAAGAAGGCCGTCAGAAAGGTGAACGCAATGGCGCATACGAATTTCCGGCGATTGAAACTGAAGAACAACGGCGCGAAAGGCGGGCCCGGATACAACAGCAAGTTCAGAAGACGACGCTGAGTCGACATTTGCATTGCAAGGCGTTTTTACATGGAGAGCGATATCCCAATTGACATTGCTGATGAATACATGTCCACAATAAAACACTACTATCATGTTTAGGCCCTAGGTATTTCATGCGCGTCTGGTGTCTAGAGGTAACACTTCGTGACAGTATTTGCTCGATGCTATATAACTCTATATTACGGCAGTAAACGAGCCCCTAGCCGCCGTATCAGGACGAGGAAGTAGAAGGTCGCGAAGTCGCAGCTGATGGCAACCATGAGCCATGATAAACCAGCCGAGAAGACTACACGGTCAACAAGAAACCGATCTTGTTGCGGTATTTCCGCAGGAATCTCACCTTCCTTCTCGCTTAACCACTCCATCTCAGTCCAAAGCGTATCATCGGTACCATCACACATCTCCAGCTCTACAAACTTGTCAATCATGCTTTGCCCACGATCAATATGTCTTTGGAGCCGTCTCAAACAACAGTACGACGGGCCGCCCCGCGCCACGGGCATAGTCCCTTCTCCTTTACACACCACCACCGGCACCTCCCTCCCAACCTCCTCGCGGCGGCACTCTTCTCCGTCAGTCTCTATAGAATGCACCAGGCAGAGCAGCCGTCTGTAATCCTTCAGCACCGCCCAGAGCCAGCAAAACGCCAGCGCAACCTGCAACACCATCTCCTTCACCACATCCCGCCCCTCAAACCCCTCCATCTGCGCAGCGCAGCAATTCCGCAACGCCTGCTGCCGATTCAGCACCTCGCGACACGAGCGCATCCGCGGCGGCGGCGACTTGTACAAGCCCGGGTTCCACTTGGTCGTCTTCGACTCGGCGTCGTCTTCTTGGTGCCATCGTTCCTGCCAGAAGGCGTTCCAGAAGCCGGAGAAGGTCTCGGAGGCCGTCTGGGCGCAGGGAAAGGCGCGGAAGAGCTTTGCGCGCCAGAGGGATGGCCAGTCTGTCGCGAGGAGGGTGAAGAGGAGGTAGCCGGTGATGTCGCTTGCGAGGAAGTGCGGCGTGGGGGTGTAGCCGTGTAGGATGCTTGTGATGTCGACGTGGAGGTCGGTGATGCGGCGCTTGAGGCCTCGCCTTTTGGGCGGGTTGGAAGGCTGCGGTGAGGTTTCCATCGTTGTATCTGTATTTAAAAGCTTCTTCTTCTTCTTGAAGATCAGATCCATTTCTTTGCTTGTAGTTGTCGAGACGCGGGATCTTGGCTCTTTTTCACATGCGATGCTGTCTCTTGATCATCCCTGCATGGTTGCCGCAATCATCTCAGCTCAAACCACTTAACGGGCTCGCCAAGTCCAACAGAAGCCATGCGCTGGCATTGTTTTCCCTACGATGCAGAAGCATGGCTTTCCCTTTTCGAATCTCACCCCAAGGGACGCGAGCTAGGAGTGGCCGATGTGGTCTAGGAATGACTGCCTGTCGTCTGATGTAAGACGGTGCCCACATGTAAGCGCTTATCCCAACCCCTTGGGTCAAACCGCTGCAAGTATGTCATTTGGCGAGAGAATTTGATTCGCCTAGGGAACGAAAGGATCTGAGTTGGTTCTCAGCTTCTCAATGATCACGTGGCTCGAATGGCTATGGAACTCGGCGAGCAACCTGAGTTTGCGTTATTAGATGGTGGCCAGTACAAGCCATCAACCGTGGTGATTGAGACTTTGGATCTTAGAGGAGATCGTTTTGGCTGGGTGACTGGCTACCTTTTGTATCACCAACTCAAGCGGCTTTTCATTCTCTTGGTATTGCAGCACGAGATCTTCATGATGTCGCAGAGCAAGAGGCATCATCGTCATCCGCTACAGCACTTACCAGTCATACTTTGACATGTATCACCTTTTACCCGTGATGTTGTCATGTAGATGAAATTCTTCGCAATTTATTTCTGGTGTATGTCTGAGTCTACCGCACCTCCTGTGGTGCCTCAATCGTAGTCACAATAGGCCCTTTCTCCCCCTCCTTTCCAACCCCATTGACCGCCGCCTCCCGCGCCTCGGCATTCAACCTCACCCACATCTTCTTCCTCAACTCCAACCCATCCATAAACACCTGAAACCAAGACGGATCATACACTGGCAGCGCTCTACCAATCCCACCCTCAGGCTCGCCCGCAAGCTCCCTCACCGTCTCGAAATACTCCTCAAAGTGCGGATGCACGAGCGAGAACCGAATATCGTCCCCCTTCTCCTTGACTCTCTCCGCCTCCCACGCCGCCTGCTCCTCCTTGAGCGGCAGCTTCGCCCGCCCAGCCAGCACGCGCGCCGCTAAAACAGCTTGCCACTCGAAAATCTTGAACGTCAGCCCCGCGGCCACGGCGCCGATGAAAAGTAGCGTCGGGTCGGCGTGGTAGATGACGTGCTGGTAGAGCCCCGCGACGCGATTATTGCGCAGCTCGACCGAAGGAAGGAAGGGCAAGGTCCAGGTGAAGCCCGTGGCGAGGACGATGCTGTCGACTCCGGGGACGGAGGTGCCGTCCTGGAAGTGGACTGTTCTCGTGGAGGGGTCAATGTGGGTGATTGTGGCGCGGCGGGAGATTTGCGGGTGGTTGAAGGCGCCGTCGCCGAAATAGAGGTTTGCTTTGCGGCCGTTTACGACGGAGTAGATGGGGAGTTTGGCTGTTTTGACGAGGTCGACGGAGATGTCTGCGCCTGAGACGGAGGCGCCGACTACGACGACGCGCTGGGTTGTGAGTGGTCAGCGACCTTTTCGTGACTCGCGGGGAGAGAGTAGAGAGAGAGAAAGAGAGAGAGAGAGATCATGAGGGAGTACTCACCTTGTTGCGGAAGTGATCTCGTCCGCGAAAGTGCTTGCTGTGAATTACGCTTCCCGGACGCGCCTGTTCAAACTCCTCGAGGCCCTCAATGTGAGGCACATAAGGAACCCAGTAGTGCCCCGTCGCAACCACAACAGCGTCGAAGTACTCGACCCACCAGTCGTCCCACTCATCGCCCTCTTTCCTGAGGGTGAGCTTCCACTCTTCCCCAACTTTCTCAGCGCGCTCGACGGTGGTGCGGTAGGAGACGAAATCCTGGTAGCCGTTACGGTTCACCAGCCCCTGAACAAAGTCCCGCACCACGGTCCAGTGCCGAAAGGGCGTCTCGGGGCCGTGCAGCGCAATCGAGTTGTCGGTGCGCTGTTCGGGGAGGGATTCCTCGGAGAAGGACATGGGGATGGCGTCGACGTTGGTTTCAAGGTAGGGGTAGATTCCGGACTCGGTGAAGCGTGGCGGGGGAGGGGCCGAGACTGACCCGGCCGCAGCTTTCGGCGTCCGGGACGGGAGGGTTTCCGGGATCGGGAGGGGTTGGTCGGCGGTTCGGGCTGCTAGGGAGGAGAGGTTTGTGAGGTGTGGTGGTGGTGTTTGGTCGCCAACCCTATTGTGATGGAAGAGTTAGTGCGTGTTCTTTGGGGACTCGCCTCGTTCGAGCGCGGTGAATGTCTCTATTCCATCTCATCGCCCGCCGATGTGGCATCCAAGTCAAGGAATAGTAATGCTATGTTCAGTGACATTGATGATGGAGATCATTGGCCGCAGGAATTGGCCATCTGCTTCAGTCATCCAGATGACAGAGCACCATCAAGGTTCTCGTTTGTTCCTGGTTCATCTCATAAGGTAATACGAAGCAGTACCAGAAGATATTTCCAGGAACAGCTTAAACCATCAAGGTACTCCAATGAGCTCCATATGAGTACGACCAGCCCCGCGCAACAGTCCAATGAAAACAACTTGCGACGAATGTGAAAAGAAAGACTCACCAGCATCCTCCCGCTGCCTCTCGACGCTCAAACACACGAATGACGTCGAAGGCCTTCTCCCGTGCCAGGGCGTCAATTGTGATAGCCCCGGCCGGCCCCGCGCCGATGACGGCAACCCGCTTGACTGCGCCCATTCTTCAGATACTCGCTATTCCCTGAAACGCTCTATGCTTGACCAACGTGGGATCGTAAAGAGAATATCACAGGATTGTAAAGCAGAAATGAAAAAGAATAGGACAAGGTACGCGGCACCTGACCCAGCACGCGAAGTGCGAATGCTCTCACTTTTTTAGCTGCCCGCCTCCCGAGAGTTTGGGAGCGGCTTGCAGCGGACGGATGGAGGGGTTCAACTGAACAGGGGTGAACCCCACTACCAAACTGCCAAAGCCTCCAATCGTGTTGTCGTAAACCGCCTGACCGGGTAGTCGGACAGGGATGCCGGTGTCGTTCACCGTGGTGGAAAGTCGATTTGGTCATCTTAGCGCCCCATGGCGTTATCGTGCGAGGAAACGTTGTCTCCCGTCGCCCGTCACGAGCATGTGCTGTTATCGATAACGCTTATCAGCACTTCCCGGCCCAGCGAGGTGGGAGACCATCAAGGTGCGAGCACTTACATCACATTGCGTTCTTGGACCCTGAAGTTCTTGAGGATATCCGCAGTGGATGTGGGGGAAACATGGGTTTGCGGTCCAGGGCAGACTGGGATTATTTAGAGTCTGATAGGAACCTGGATGGGCCGATTATACAAGACAAAAGCATTTAGCCATGGCATTTCAGCTGGATCCAATGGTCAATGTTCGTCGTCTCTTTCTCGTGTATGTGTGTGTAACTGCCGTGATCGACAACCATGAATTCTCCGACAGATGAAAAGATGGTGTGCACCACGCCGACGGACCGATCCGTCGTGGCGTCCGAGGACAAGTTGGAGTGGGATATCGATGAGGAACGTATGGCTAAGAGGAAGTGAGAACTCCCCGGCTCCCAGTGGCACATGATTTCAAGCTTAAAGTAGCTCCATGAGTTGAGTGAGGCTAACGTATCATGTTCTCAGAATCGACATGACTGTGTTACCTCTCCTTGTCTTGGGTCTGCTCATGTTCCAGCTCGACCGTATGAACCTAGCTTCAGCACTTACAGCCGGCTTCGCGAGGGATATCAACGTCAGTCAGGATACTATCAATCTGGGAAACCAGCTCATGTTCATGGGCACTGTTGTCTTGGAGATTCCATGTAACTTGCTGTTACAAAGGGTGCGTCCGTACAAGCCAACGCTCAAACTTATTCACCTCCCCTCCCCTCCCGTTACCAGTTCCACCTCCAGAGTGCCTACCACCCAGATTCCATCCAAGCTCACTCACACGTCCGCGTAGTTTGGCCCCCGGAAATGGATCTCCCTACAAGTCCTCCTCTTCGGCACCGTCGCCACGCTCCAAGTCCTCGTCAAGAACCGCGCCGGCTTCCTCGCCATCCGCCTCATGCTCGGCCTCGCTGAGGCGGGGTACATCCCCGGATCAATGTACACCCTGTCCAACTGGTACTCGAAACACGAGCTGGCGAAGCGCATTGCCGTCTTCATGTTTGGGCAGTTTGGGGGCAACGCCCTGAGTCCACTGCTTGCTTCTGGAATACTGAAGTTGGCCGGAAAGGGCGGGTTGACGGGTTGGCAGTGGCTTTTCCTAAGTGAGTCCTCCCTTCCATTTTTTCCTTCGGCCTGTTGGGTCTCATGGACTCTTCTAATACTGTATCGCAGTTGAGGGCCTGGCAACTCTGGTCGTTGCCATAATGCTCATCTTCCTCCTCCCCGGATCCCCCGACACGCCGAAACCCCTCGGAAGCCCAGGCCTGATTCGATTCTCGACAAGACAACAGCAGATCCTCCAACAAAGAATGCAAATCGATGAGCCCGAAAAGAGCGATGGAGTAAACGGTATCGTAATCCCCTGGGCCCTCGTCTGGAAGACAGTCAAGCACTACAAGAGATGGCCGCACTACGTATCCACCTTTTGTGTCTTTTCGACGTGGTCGCCGCTCACAACATATACTCCTTCCATCATTATGTAAGTAGATTCATGAACCTTTGTACTTCTTGCAGATTGAAGTGGCGCTCTACTGACCCACCTACCTCTACCTAAAGGGCCCTCGGTTTCGACCGCATCAGCGCCAACGCCCTGGCCGCGGTCGGCGCGTCTCTCGCCATGGCCGTCGTCTTCGCCTTTGCCATGCTGAGTGATCGGTCGAATAAGAGAGGATCGACGGTGCTGTTGGGACATGTATGCTATCTGACCATACTGGTGGTGGCCCGGACAGTGCATCCGCACGTCGGGAAGTGGTCGAGGTGGGGTTTGTGGACGGCCATGAATGCTTTTGCTGTCTGCTACCACCCGGCGCATAACACATGGCTGCAGGTCAATTGCCGTGACCCCAGAGAGCGCAGCATTGGAATTGCGTAAGTAGTTGGTTCATCACAGAAAACTCGGGAGTACACTGACAGGCGAGAAAGCATGTGGGTGATGTCTGCCATCAGTGGTTTAATGGTAGGATCTCAATACTTCAGGGGTAACGATCTGCCTTTGTGAGTTTTCCTCCCGGTCAAACTACTATAGACTTTTAGTTGACTTCTTTTTCTTTTGACAGCTACGACAAGGGCCTCTTGACGATGATCATTATGGTCTCGATCGGCATGGCGTTTGCTTTATTGCAGGAGGCCGTTTATGTGTTGCATAACAGGCGTGTGGCGCAAGGCAAACACCGACCCAAGGACGGTTCTGAGCCGTATATTTACGTTCTTTGAATTGGTTGATCAAGCGTGAGCGGCGTTTGAATATGAATGATGGACTTGCTTTGATGAGAATGAGAAAAAGTAGTACGGTACTAGGGAGTTAATTGGAGAGTTGAGGATAGAGACGAGGAGATGAATGGCGATAGGCTTGTGGCTCAGAACATGGACAACATAAAGTATGTCCTAAGATTATAGAACAATCTGTGTTTAACAGATTTCGCATTCCATATGCGAGGCATTGGGGAGGCACAGCTATCAGGCGCAGTGGCCAGTAATTCTCAAGTATTGGTTCTACTGAGTTTGACCGTTTTATACAAGAAATGAACACATAAATATCTCAGATTTGAATTTGTGCGAGTCTCTCATGAACGGTTACAAGATACGACAAGAACACTATAGCCTAGTGAGAATGGTCATGTCCATGAATATGCTCATCAGACCGTCGGCTCAGGTCCCGCTTCCCAACCCAGTCCGTCCCATTAGCCCTCAGTAACTCCGTAACCTGTCCCATATCAACGCCAAGAACCTTCTCAATGTACTTTGGCAACTCGGTATTATCCCAGTTACCAGCCATGTCACCCTTGATGGTCCGTCCATTCTCGCCAGCACCGTAGCCGTACAGCGTGATATCGGAAGCGGTATGACCACCCGTAGACCAGTGCACACCCGCACGACTAGCCAATAAACTCCCCAGCTCCGAGCTCAGCGAGCCAGCGGCGAGGAGGGTATTCACCTCAGCATCTGTAGCATCAGCAAGCCCATACTCGGGCAAAATCTCACCCACCAGAAAGGCCTTCTTATCAGACCCAGTGTACGCGTCCCAAACATCCATCAAAAACTCAGTCGAGGCGTTGACCTTGACGAGGGGAAGCGGGTTGAAGCCGTTGAGCGTCAGACCGCCACACTCGTGATCGGCGGCCGACATGAGCAGGGTGTCTGGGTGTTCGTCGATCCACGCGCGGACGAAGCCCATGACCTCGTTGTAGTGGATTGTGTCGAAGAGGTGGGCGGCCGGGTCGTTGGCGTGGCCTGCGTGGTCGATGCGCGAGGCTTCGATCATGAGGAAGTAACCCTCTTCTCTGCAGTGGGTGTCGCGGTGGAGGGAGTTGAGGGCCGTTTCGACCATTTCTAGGAGGGAGGGTTCTTGTGAGGGTTGGCGGGAGCGGTCGATCTCGTACATCATTTGACCTGGCAGTTTGTTATCATCTATGTTGTCTTCATTGTGAGAATAGAAGTGTTGAAGTACCATCATTAAAGAGACCAATGTAAGGAAGGCGAATGTCGCCGAGACCCTTGTCGAGGGCGTCAAAGGCCGACCGATTCTGCATCACATGGTAACCGTTCTCCTGAGCGAAGCCAAAGAGATCAATCTCATCCTTCCGGCAGGAGGTCAAGTCGGACGCGGGCTTGAAGTAGCACCGGCCGCCTCCGAGGAGAATATCGGCGACGGGGCCGAGTGGATGCCCGTAGCCGATCTCATGCTCCGCGATCTTAGCATACGAGTTGCGATCGGCAACGTGGGCCGCGTAGCCTGGCTGCCTGTCAGTGGCGTACATTGAATATGGGGTTACATATGACAAGGCTATTTTGGCGGTCGGCTACTTACACGCGGGAGTAGCGTGGTTGATGGTGCTGGTGACGACCAGACCCGTCTTCATGCCCGCGAGTCTGGCGGCCTCGAGGATGGAACCGACGGGTTCGCCAGCGGGGTTGACGCCGATGGCTGATGTGTGTGTCAGAGCAGGGCTGTCGAATTCTCACGAGAGGCGCGCACCGTTATTGTAAGACTTCACCCCGCAAGCAAAGGCGGTTCCAGAGGCGGCGGAGTCCGTGATGAGATTATCGCTGGAGAGAGTGCGAACGTTGCCGAGGACCTTCCAAGATTATGAGTCTGAATAACATAAGTGTTGAAGTATTTCTTAACGCACCATCTTATCAGCCGCAAGCTGGAAGCTCACAGGTGCTTTGGGATTCTGGCCATTTTGCAGCAATGAGACATAGTCCCTCGCCATTGTCTGAGAAGCGGGACCGTATCCATCCGGAACAATGTAGATGAAGTTCTTGACATTGGGGAGTGACAGGACAGACTGCACCAAGGCGGCGAAGACCACGGCTGAGGAGCGCATCTTGGAAGGCACTTCTGCGATGGATAGAGATCTTTGGGAAGGTCGTCAAGGTTGCAGCCATCGGTTTTACTCTTATAAGTATCCGTCTTCCGTTTTCTTGGCCGCGCGTTGTAGTATCTCATGTCGTGTTTTATGCCGCCTGCAGCCGTCGCTGCGGCGTACACATTTGGCATGAAGGATCACATTCAATAGTGTCTCGCTAACTCTAGCATCGGGATCGCAATTTCTC